ACTTGGCTTCTTTCTTTGTCCTTCTGTAACATGTCTTCTTAAGACATTTATTAATTTTTGTTTGTTTGAATTCTGGATTTTGTTATTTTTTTTGTCTGGACTCACATCAGTCTGCCAAATATTGTTTGTGGGACAAATTTATCAAAAGACAAAAAATTATAATACCATCCATTCCTTCAGATTATATTAAGATTATATTGATATACTAATGGGTACATTTCAAGTTAATATATTGGTATCTTAAGCTTTGGGTTAGTCATACAAAATCCACTAGTTTATACAGTCATTTGTTTTTAATCAAATCATCCCAAGCAAGGCAATAATGCCACTAGAATGCTGAGAGTTACAGGGAGTGAAAAAGAACATTAGTGAGGAAAATAAAATAAAGGGACAGAGTTGCAAAAGACAGAAGATAGTGATTGAAATTGCATTTAAATTTATGAAGATTGTAGGTAACAGGGAAATTGTGAATGCCTTGGTAGTCTGTCAACTTAATGTTTAAGACAACAAATCCTTCAATTTGGGGGTCTTTCATATTTGGTGGTTTTCCACTGCTGGTTTTGATGGAACTGAAAGTGAGGTTTTCCATCGCTGCGTCTGTGTTGGCTTAGGCTTGGTTGTCATGTTTGATGACTGTCGATTTTCCTGCGAAGCACATGTTGTTGGTGTCTCAACTGGTTACAACCATTAGACCAGGATATCCCTTGCTGTCTCTTGGTTTTGTGTTTTGCTGAGATGCATACTATAGCCCAGTGGCCTACTTTGCCACATATGTTGCATGTGTCATTTTTGGCAGGACAATGTTCTCTGCAAAAACAGTGGTCATGTCCACAATTTTTGTGTGTCTGTGTGTATTTTCTATCACCTCCTTGACATTAGCAAGTACCACAGTTTATGATGGCTATCTGTGATGATGGTGTTGATTCCTGTAGTTGGTGATGTTGGCTGATGTATATTGCTGATGTTTCATGTGTACTGGCTAATTTAACAGCCTCATCAATTTTGTAGCCTTTTGGTTTGTTCAAAAGTTCCTTTTGTAGCTTGGATATATGTGTGTTACTGATTAGTAACTCAACCAAGCATTTGTTTACTCCATTGGCTGTGAAGTTGCATTTCTTTGCTAACAGTTGACATCTGTTAATGAAGATGTCCATTGTTTCTGTTGGCTTTTGTTGATATTTGATAAGTTTAAGCCTATAGACGCATTGGTTGGTTGCCAGCTTGAGCTGCTCTATGAAAGCAAAGAATATTTTTTGTGAGTCTTTGTGGTCATTGTCTGTCATCAACCAACTGTTGTATCAGTGTAGGACTTCTTTGCCAGTTGCAAGGAAAATTAACAACACTTTGTCTTCATGTTTTGTTGCCTTAACCATGAAGTAGAAATCTATACATTGTCAAAATAATTTGAACAACTCAGCAATGTTTGGCAAGCCCCAGTCAAAAGTAGGTACATGTATCAACAATGTAGCCATAATATCTGCCTGTTTGTAGTGGTTAGTGTTGTGAGCTCAGCATGGTGTAAGCAAGAGTGTATAATGAGTGAGAATTCATGAAATGTAAACTCAAAAAAATACTATGCTACTGTTTGTACTCACTGTTTTTTATTTGTACAGTGATGTAGTAGGGTTGCTTATTGTATTATCTAGTCCCGTTGCTACCATGTCATGCCACATGGTGCATGTTATATGTGTTAAAATATAATGATAGCTCAAACCTTGTGTATATTTACAAAAGGGACTGTCATGGCATATGTTCATTAATTAATGCGCATGCTCAGTTGTACATAAGAACTGGATTGACGTTTTGTGAATCTGGAATGAAATAATAAACAATATTATTACACTCTGTGGTGATTAAATGAAAGCAGTTTTATTTTGGAGGCATTAAAATTTACAAGACATTCCTTGCCTCAGTTAACTGCCAATTGGAGTCCATCTTTGAGAGCAATTTCCAATTTTACTTTGTTGGATCTGTCAAACTTGCTATTAAGACAGGAGTAAATAGTTTTGTCATCTGCGTAAATGTCTATTTGGGAAGTGATGACATCAAGGTTGTTGATGATCATCATAAACAGCATAGTACTGAGGATATAGCACTTGAGGGGGAATGTCTGCATTAATAAGAAATGAACGAGTAGCATGTCCATTCAACGTGACCTTCATTACATAATTTGTTAAGAATGAGTAGATTAAGCCAAATATTCATCCAAAGATACATGTAGCCCTTGAGCCTGTGGAGAAGGGCAGCCTATCAAACTCTGTTTACTGAATACTTTTAAAATATTCAATCTTTCTTTTTATGTGCCATGTTCTTTCAGGACATAGGTAATCATGGCTCTCCACCTCCCTCTGTTCCTTGCAACTCTCAACAAGTTCCTTCCCTCTGTCACCTCCCCCAAACCATGTTCTGTCATCCATTTGCTTAAGGCACTAGGTATGTCATGCATTGTTTTCTCTTGTCTCTCTTTCCCTCTGTTCAACCTGTGAGTATCAGATTCTCCAGGCCCTCCTTCCTCATTATGTGTCCCAGGAATTTTAGCTGCCTTTTCCTGATGTTAAGTATAAGCCTCCTCCTTGTTTGCATCCTCTCTAAGACCTCATTGTTGCTCACTTGATATCCTTAGCATCCTTCTGTAGAACCACATCTCCGATGCCCTGAGTCTTTTCTTCATCTTTGAGGAAATCGTCTAACATTCACTCTCATAAAGAAGGACAGATGTCACATAAAAACTCAGTATGCTTTTCTTCGTTACCAAAGAAATCTTCCTGTCTCACAATACTCTGCCCAGCTTTTGGAATGTGTCCTTGACCATCACAATACATCTACGAATCTCAGTGTCAAATTTACCATCCTCTGTCAGAAAACTTCCCAAATATCTAAACTTATAACCTGCAAATCACATTTTGGGCTCATCCTTTTACTGATGACCATGCATTCTGTTTTCTTGGAGTTTATGCTTAGTCCCTTCTTCACACTCTCCATTGCTACCTTTTGTAGGAGATTTTGTAATTTTTTCCATGTCTGCTATCAGTACTGTGTTATCTGCATATCTTATGTTGTAAAGATTGTGGCCACTAATAATACTAAATGTTATTGTCATCTATTTGAATTCTTTCACTTCCTTCTTTTATTTATATAAAACCTTTTATTTAATTTTATGACTTATAATTATGATGTTAAACATGTATAAGAAAAATTACAAAATTTACACAAAACATCAACAGGATATTTATTTCTGTCCCATGGTATTTAACAACAAGTATGGCCTAAGAGTTGTAATAAAAAAACCGACAAAAATCTGAAATACAAACCAAAAATAAATAATAAAACTTCATTTAAGAAATCTGATTATAATCAGCATAGAGTTTAGAAAGGATTGTAAAGGTTTTAACACAGAATTGAAGTCTTGAAAATCACAAAGATGACAATGTATAAAAAAAATACTGCTGGTAATGACTCTTGTACAATATTGTGTGAGTTTACAAGAACCTTTGACAAAACATAATCAAGCATTGCCTCCACCAGTGAAAGAGTTTGGAAAGGAAAGTTTAAAGAATCCTTAAATCTTAAAATAGTTTTTTACTTCTTTTATTACTCAGACTTCCAAAATTGCATTTGTTTTAAGACAACCAAAAATTTCCTACAAATTTCTCTTTATAATTATAATGTATATAGAGATATACAGAGCTTGTGTCTTTATCGCAGTAGCTCCTAAACTTTTTTCTCTGGGCTGCATCTTTGGAATTAAAATTTGTTTGTGCCTTACCAAATTTTATGTGATAAAAAGTACATTTAAAAATAAAAACATGAAGAAGGATAAACTGCAGATTCAAAGTCAGAACATTACCATTGACAACTCTCTCCTCCAATTTGTGGACACTAAATAATACGTGATATAATGTAAAAATATCACAATGATAAAATCGGTCAATAATTATTTATAATTTACTCTATTTACATTGTTTAGACTGTTTAAACTGTTGTCCTCATTTTTATTGTCATATTCACAATGTTTCAGACATTGTACACTCCAGACTTCTTCAGGTGATGTATGTTGGAATTTTGAACCAAACTCTTTATTTCTTCTGACTGGGTATGCCTTTTCTGGATGTCTTAGTTTCAGTTATTTCCCTTTAGTAACTCAACTCTCCAAGTTTTTGTTCACCTCTACTGTGGTCAGGTATTGAACTCACAACTCTTTGGGTCAAGTCACTTTTGAATTACTTTAACCAACATTTTTATCCACTTAGCCATGTATCCTTGGGTAAATAGTTACAATACCTCATCTCAAAAATATAGATAAATTATTTATAATTATTTTTACTGGGACTTTTGCATGCAATTGCAAGTAAGCCATCATAATATTTTAAATATTGAAATCATATTTATTTTTGGCATATGAATTTTTTAAAACTGTTTCTAAATCTTTGATCATCTTTCAATAATTCCGCCTCACCTTCTATCCTCTTCTGCCTCACCTGCTATCCTCTTCCACCTCACCTGCTATCCTCTTCTGCCTCAACTATGAGACGTGCCATACTGTTCAGGAACCACTTTTTTAAGGTGACAAATACAACCAAAAGTGAATAAACCTTGGGTGATAGAAATATTAATTTTCAAAAGTTTACTCTTTGGGGGAAGAGATTAGATTTTAATTATAGTGTCTAATTGAATTTGTATATTAAGGTAGGCATATATTTTTTGCATTTTTGCTAAACCCAGAAGTATGAACAGAAAATGATCATTAACATTTTTAAGAAATCTATCATATTTTTAGACATAAAAGTCTGGGTGAATGTGTATATATACATATTAAATATATGTGTTCTCTCCTACATACATGCATGCACTCATATTTTTTTTCTTAAAATATATTAATTTAATTTAGAATGGCTAGTCTATCTATCTATCTATCTATCTATCTATCTATCTATCTATCTATCAAGACATGCACATGCACACACATAAATATATATAGTCTATATATCTATAGGCATCACATTGAAACACCTGTTTCCATACAATCAAAGAAGTGAAGCAATGTCGAGCCTGGTCAGTATCTAAATGGGCGACTGCATGTGAATACCAGGTGCTGTAAACTTATATTTGTTGGTGATAAAATGGGTAATTGTTTGGAATTGTTAATTGGAGAGTAAAGTTCCAATTCGAGTTGGGTTTGTTATATTCATTTATGTACAAATACTCTTGGGAAGTAAGACTCTACAGCCTCCAGTACTTGCCCAAAAAAGAATTATACACAGAAAATACTTTCAAAAACCTCCAATATACAACCCCCAAAAGATAATATTATTAAAAACAATAAACTAGATAAAAACATATATCATACAACCTACTAACTCCATAACATCCATCATATATAAAACAATCTATCCAATCTAAGCAGCATCAAAATAATTACAAACACATCCAAAACTATTATGGATATGATCAGAACCAAAATTAACCATAACAATAATAATTTTGAAGCAGGTAAATATAAAATAAATCATCACAACTGTTATAAATATAAGGTAAATATAAAATAAATTGCCAGAAATATTCTCCACAATACATTAAGGAAATTTTCAGAAATTTAAAAATACATATCTATGAACACAAAATGGATCTTATGCACACCATATGCATTAGTTATACATAGGAATAAATTCAACCACAGCTTTGATCTAAAGAATGCAATAGTTATTATGAAATAAAGTAACTTAAAAGGAAAATTCTTAAGAGTGCTACTACGGAATCTTGTCAAAATATAAATCTGAACCTGAGATTTTTTCCAATATCTCCATTCCTGAAAGAATTACTATTTTCTCAAGTCAAGATACATGACTACAGAAATGTTAAAAAATTAAATAGTTAAGAGAAAATGGTTAAATCCATAGCCTCATGTTATTCAAAATATATATCACATAAATAAATGTTAAACAAAAATAATTTAAATACAAATTTGAATTAAAAAAAAAATTTCTAAAGACATCACTTACTTTCATTTATTAGACATTTAATTGTGTCTCTTCATGCCCCTATAACTTACCTGACTTTTCAGCTAACCTGATGAATATTTAGGAGAGTTCTTATTGAAAAACCAATAACATTTTTTGTTCTTGTATATAAATACTTGTTACAAAATAAAATCCTTGCATTTGCCTTGATAAAGTACCTCAGAGAACAAAACATGTCAGCTAAGATCAGTTTTCCTTTTGTCTTTATTCATATTGTCTTTTTACAGATATACTCTAGCTGAAACTTTTATAGATTTATGCAAATGTAATTTAAAATCACAATAATTTTTCTTTCATTTTCAGCAATTTTGCAGACTTCTATAAATTAATTCTTGTTCATTTTTTATTCTTTCTCCTTAATAGTGTTTTTTTTCATATTCTCTAACACTAAGTAACTCCTTGTGTTTCTGACTTTATTATTGCCTTGCTTGGCAAGAAAAAGAAAAGTTTAGTAGTGTTATGTTCAAAATAATTCAGAATTATAATATCACTGGGAACTTTCAATTTGTCATCCAACCATCTTCAGGATCCATTGTTTTGGCATATATCATTGGTATGATATTGATACACATGTTGTCAAATTGTTTGTCGTGGTTCAGGTTAAATACATCTATTAGTTATTTAAAAAAACATCCTAAAACTAATAGCTGTTTCTTAATACTTTGCTTAGCTTTCAGAAGGTAACTTTTGCTATCCCAATACACCTTCAAATTTTAGTCTTGCACTTTCCAACCTCTGTTAAAACCCTTCCCAAATATTTAAATTGTTTGGTTTTGGTATCTCTGATTTGTAATTTGCACATTGGTCTAGGAGGTGAATAAAAATGTAATTTTAATGTGTTATACTTAATTACACCTGGTTAAATAAACCCACACCCATAAGATAAGTGTCTCAAGATCTTTATCTGTCTAAAGGAACTAATATTTTCAAAGGCTTGTAAAATCTAAATTATCTACATTGTATAAATAACACAGCATTTGACTGTTCCATCACTTTTCTAATTCATGCATGATCTATATGTCAGTTCCCCTCCATCTAATTCTCTGTCGAAAGATCTAATTATCTGCTTTGAATTTTGCCAAGATAAGCATTTTTTTAAAAGAATGATATGTAACAATAAATCACACGATGTATGTATCATACATTCCACAGGAATAGAAGTCTAATTTATTTTCTAAGAACATTTTTTTTCTCCAATTCCTTGAAGAATTTTTTATACTGCATCACATGGGGCTTCATTCTTTTTCACAAAGATTCATACTTACATGACACAAAATTACAAATCTCTTTTTATATTTATATATACTTACAGAAAAATGTATTTGTTTACTTAATATATATATATATATATGTATGTATATGTATGTATATGTATATATATATATATATATATACTTTTATATATGTACACATATGTATAGATATGTATACACATAAATTTGGGCATATATAAAACGATGTGCCAAAGCATTAAAAACAACAGTACTGCAGGAAATGGACTCAGCTAAATGGTCTATGTGACATAATAAGTAAAGAGGTAGTGTAGCTATGGCAACCAAAAATGATGGACCCGATTTAGCACCATTTGATTGTAGAATGACTGTTGGGGCCAGAAATATGGGGTCACTGTATTTTCAAGACTAGTAACTTGTCAAAGTTTATCTAAGACAATAATAGTAAGTGTAGACCAGGACAATATCAATTCCAGACAGACATCAATGGCATGTAAGAAATGTAAGTAAAATTATATTAAAATGGAATTTCAGATAGCAACAAACCTAAAATAGTTGAACACTACCACAAATTGTATCCCAAATCAACACCAGTGTAGCTAAACTGATCAGTCAGCTCATACACTATATTCTAAGTGGCTTTGTAATGATCAAACAAAAAAGAAGACATTATGGAGTCAGTTACTATAATTTAGTTGAACCAGAGAATATTGTTACCTGCCGGTAGAAGACCATTGTCCTGTAGCCTGATTAGAGAAATCACATTTCCAGTTCTTTCAAACTGGCAGTATAATTGGGTGAAAACTGCACCAGGCTATAGATCCAGCTTGTCAGCAAGGTGTTGTGCAAGATAGTGGTTACTTTGTATTGGTTTGCATTCTATTCAGGTGGATTTCACAAGAACCACTAGTGAAACTGGATTTTGTTTTTACAGGTATGATATACAATAATTATTTTGTAAGCTGTATAATGATACCAGAATAGAGAATGCAGACCATAAAAGAAGCCAGGTGCATTAGAGAACAGACCTGGAGTGAACATGCGCTTGCATCTAATTTTACAATCATGGGAAAGATTTGTAATACATGCATTTACATAAACAAATGCCCCACAAGAGGATTTGGGGAGTTTGTTATACATCAGAGATGAGAATGTAGGGTCTGCCACTCATAGATCACAATCTTGTCAGTGGGAATTGAGAGAGTCAAGAGTTGAATAAAATTTAACATCAAGTATAAAAGATTCAAGTCTCATCTTATCATTTAACCAGCACCCTCAATGCATTACAAGACTGTTGGCACCTCTTTATACTGTTTCCTGGTATTTATGATATGTTTCAGAAAGATAACTCACCATCCTTCTGCTGACTTTAATTGGTTCCATGAACACTTGGCTGCCTTCCGGACACACCATTGGACTCCACACTAACCAGATTTAACCCCCAGTGAGCATAAGATATGTTGGAAATTTTGCTATATTCTACATGGCCACAACCATTAAACACAACTCAGTTATAGATAATCCTAGAATGTGTTGAATAAATATGTATTATGCAATGATCCCTGTCTCTGGTAGACTCAATGTCGTGCTACATAACTGCCATTATTAAGGTGAAAAGTAGCTACATATTATTTGATAGGTAATTTTATGTCACTTCAGTTTTATATATTTTATGAATATATATATCTGCTTCTATAATTCCCTTTCTCTCCATTCACACACACACACACACATATATTTTGAAATGGACAAAATCCGACAGTTATTTAAGACATTTTTATGTTTATACATTCTTTTTATAGATACAAATATTTAAGTAAATTCTCTGTTTATAATAAACAGTATAAACAACATTTACTGGCCTGAATGTCAGGGAAATTTTCATAGAAATTATATGTCCTCCAACAGGAATCGAACCTGTATCCTATACAGAAGCATCATATAGCCTGACATGCCTTAACCGAGTGAGCCACAGAGAAGCGTTTGGTTAGCAAGGTCAATTTTACTGTTTTTAAACACAATTCTCCATGATTTTCTTTCATTCATTCATATCTGCTCAATGTGTATCCAAATGTAAACAAATGGTGTCATACATTATGAAATGGACAAAGTCCAACAATTATTTAAGACATTTTTTATATTTATATGTTCTTTTTAAAGATACAAATATTTAAGTAAGTGCTCTGTTTATAATAAACAGTATTGCATTGAGCAGATATGAACAAATGAAAGAAAATCATGGAGAATTGTGTTTAAAACAGTAAAATCGACCTTGCTAACCAAACGCTTCTCTGTGGCCCAATAAGTTAAGGTACATCAGGCTATATGACGGTTTTGTATAGGATACAGGTTCGATTCCTGTCGGAGGACGCATAATTTCTATGAAAATTTCTCAGACATTCAGGCCAATAAATATTGTTTATACTGTTTATTATAAACAGAGCATTTACTTAAATATTTGTATCTATAAAAATAATGCATAAACATAAAAAATGTCTTATATATATATATATATATATATATATATGATTTAAACTTGGATGAGAATATGCTAGGTGAACTGAAAATGTCATGATCTCATGATGAAGTTAGTTGAAACAGTGTGTGATACAACAAATATTAAAACAAATGAATATATAAATAAAAACTGAGTTCAAATTAGTAAAATCCAATCTAAAAGAACAAAACACTACAATTAACCTTTATCACACTGTTTGTGACTTCATTTTCTGTACAAAAAGTTTATCCTCTGATCCTAGAATAACAGTGTGTCTGAATTTCATTGTTGTGTTATCATATTCTGCTATGGCAACAGAAAACAATTTTGATTAAAATTAACAATAAGGATA